GAAACCGTTTTGAATGTTAGGCATACTGTTCATTGTTGATTACGAACGTCTTTTGACATTTAATTTAAGAGGTTTACGTTTATGGATGAATTTGACAGCGACAATGTTTCAAAATTAGGAAGGGAAGCAGTGATTATTTGATTATATAGACGCTTCGCCCCTGTATATGAGTATGTAATTAATTGTGTAATATATAACTGGCTCAGGACTTTTTGAGTTTTCATGGACTCTTTAGCTATTAGCGTTTTCAAAATTTAGCAGCTATTTTCTCGCTAATTTCACCTCTGAACGCTGGAAACCTCACCTTCTTAAATCACAAATATCTTGACTTCAATTTGAAATAAATGGGTTTTTTTTTTCATTGAAAGCGAGACAAGAAATAAGCTTTCAGTTGATACCAATAACTTCGCATGCCCCAAAACTAATGATTTCACCACGTTATGACACATTTGTCTTATATAATATCAAGATGGATTATCGTTTATGAAATGTGAAACGTTAAATTGGGTTTTATTGTTTGTTTATTTTACCTTTTGTGCTCCTTGCCGTAGTGCATTCCGCCCCATTTGTGGTACAAGTCACAATTCATTGGTTGTCAAACCCTGCACCATGTGAATACCTTAGACTCTTAGAATGAAACTCAATAATGAAACTTGGTACCAAAACGCTTTTTAAAAATCTTAAAATGTGATAATTTTAAGTGACATAAATAAGACATTTCTGTTTTGTTTTCACAGGTGGTTCTCCAAAGTGTTGTCGGGAGTGGCTCTCAAGGAGACGTTGCCATTGATGATGTTTCCTTCAGGGATTTAAAAAAATGCTCATTGCTCATTACATAGAGGGAAGTTGAAACTGAGAGAGAGAGCGAGCGAGAGGGAGAGACAGAGAGAAAGACAGAGAGACAGAAAGACAGAGAGACATAGAGACAGAGAGACTACGAGAGAGACACACAGAAAGAGAGAGATAGCAAGAGAGAAAGATGGAGGCTTCTTGTGCTCTTTTTTGCTGTTGCTGCTTTTTTGGAAAAGGGGGGGGGG